AGCTTCCAAAAATGTTCGACAATCTGTTGGTAGCAACTGAATATTCAAATAATTTCTCATGAGGAACAGTAGCTTGTTGGAAGCATTGTGACTAATATGATTTTCAATGACCCATGACCTCAAATAAGTTAAAAACTGAGTCTCTTTGGTTTCACAAAATATTTCAGAAATATTTGAATGTTCAACATCAACATAAAATTCTCTAGAAAAAGGTGCATATTCTAGAGGATTATTGATATAACGACTTGTACTGGGCAAAGGAAACGACTCTGGTAAGGATGTATTGAGATTGGGAATAGTGCAGGAAGTTGATGCAGTTGTGGTAGAGCTCGTGCCTTTTCTTTGTAACTGAATATTTTGATTCATTATCCTTTTCAGATGCTCTTTGGAATATTGTCCATATGGCTTGTTTAGTCGCTATAACAATGGAGAATTGCTGATTGTGTTCAATCATAGTTTATAGGACATATTCTCACTATCAAATTGACATGTATAGAACCAAAAAATATTTCAGGTGGAAAAATTGGGAATATGAGAGGAATTATATAGGGGAATAAAGAAGGTGTACAGGATTTGCATTGGAGAATAATCTTTGTATAAAAACAGACTGACAAATACAAGAGGAAACTGAATCTTAATATTATCCGTGATGATGGTATGATGTACTGGTGGGCTGAGATGGTTTATCAGTTTATTATTATGTATTCAACTCGGATTGATCTAATATGATGGCTTCCAGAGAATTCCTCAACCTAGAATGTTTCGGCATGTCATTTATCTTTATTTCCATCAATCATATGATATAATCAGCATCGTGATATCTCACAGTTATTTTTGAAAATAGAGAATAGAGGGTTCTTGTGATTTGAACAGTTTTGGTGCAAGTTTTGGAGAATATCTGATATAGACACAATGAATCTTTTCAAACTTGCATTGCATATAAGATAATGTATGCACTATAACATTGCTTAGAAAAATAGGATGGTTGATAATCATAAACTATATACCTTTATCAAGCCTATGTATATATGGATAGTATGTTCACAGAGATTAACCCTGGTATTCACTATGAAATATTGACCATAATTTGTATATCTTTATTCGAAGAACCCTATCCTTTGCTCAGCAGTAGTCACACTATGAACTAGTATTGGTTACGTGATTTTTTTCATTCTGAAAATCGTTTCATTTTCCAGGAATCACCTGTGAATGAGTAGCTAGGTAGGTACCGACATGAATCTGATATTGATGGCAATCAACTATAAAAAGGAAATGAAATATCTGGCACATACAAATTTAACATTAGTAGAGGGTAATTGAAATGTTGTGTTGCATAAAATCTCCCAAAACCGGTGTTTACAATATAGTAAATAACTATATAATAATGAAAACGTATAGGAATGATTGTGGCATTAACAACGATTTCATTTTACCTACCCTTGAACGAAACTATACAATATAATGAATATTATATACCAACTCAGATTTCAGCTTGATGGACTCTGCAGTCTTCACTAACTATCACTATATGATCTGCGTAATGGCTGCTTTTATTACACGACACTTTTTGTTTCTGAATTCACTGTTCCAGGATGGGGATAATATCTCCCATCAACTGTTGATATTTTTTAATATCATTATCAGTCGATAAATTCAGATACAGGCGATTAAAAGACAATAATATGATACAATATTGGGTCATGAACAAACTTAGGTTTGGATCTCACGTCCGCGTCACGTCTAACGTCTAATTAAAATGGCGGGTTCAAGTAGTGGTTGGAGAGGGTGATGGGAGAGGGATCTTCATCACCTTCATCATAGAATCATAGGAAATACCGATAAGAGAAATGACAAAATGAATGTAATGTTCACGAAAATGTTTCGAAGAATGTTTCGTAACAGTTTAATCCTGTGTTTCTATTATGTAGATATTCTTTGTTCTGTTCTTTTTCTGTAATAGAAATAGAACTTTCCTGACAAAACAGTTAACGATAAAGACCTATCAGCAACGTTACTTCGGTAGCTTATAAACGTTACTTTCCTCAAATATGGAAGGTATCAGAACGTTACCGTTATGATACTATTCCGTAACATTAACCACTCAAAGAAGAAGAGAAAACATCGTCTCGAATTGAACTGCCTAGAGATGACCTAGACGTTTTTCGGCTGTCACAGAACTCGCACAATATGAAATAAAGTTGTTAAGATTTTCCGGGCTGTACTTGTGATGATACAAATAATCACGTTGCAATATGATGACATGATAACTTACAAAAGATATTTTCTCAAAAACGTCGTAGTGGGTACATGTTTGCAACGTTAACAAACATCCCAAAGATGTTTCTTGCTCAGTGGGATGCAATGTCACCAGAATTATTTTCCGGTTCCACTGAGGAAGCACGCCGGCCGGGTTTTTGAATGCCGACCAACAACTAGGGACGATATAATCAATATGATCAGGGCTGCCGTCGATAGCATTATGATAGCGAGAGTGGATGCTTCAGTTTTATCTACTCGACGAAGACTCGATTTATGTATGGAAAATAATGGAAGACAATTGATGCATCTAGGAACACACTGGTGCAACTAATCATTTGAGTACCTATATTTAATTTATATCCCCTGATATTATATCGAATACATCTCCGGTTTCTTGAGATGTATCAACTTGCGGTTTCCACCAATTTTTTCTTGTTTGAACTCCTTTCATATGAGAGTGAGGAAAATATATGGTTGCATTCGAGAATTTCGAGGAAAAGTATCTGATTTTCTCAAAAAGTGCCATCTAGCAACCAACACGGGATTTAAATCGACTCGATTCGTGATCCCTCTGAAACAACAGAAAAATCATTTGATAATAAGACCAAGTTCGTCGAATTTCGTTACACCAAACTGTAGTAAGAGTTTTTCCACAGCGTTATGCATCCTCCCATCCTTTCTTCATTCGGAGAGAAAATGTTTTTGACATACCTTGATATACTGGATTCAAACAAAATCTTGGTTTTTGAAGTGTGCAATGCAATCATGCACTCTAGCGGTTGTCCTGAAAACTTGAAAGTTATTCCCAGAGATTTCTCTTGGCTACTGTTATCATGAATATTTTTTCCGAAACCTGTGCGGCAAATGTTTTTCGAGATACAGCTGGCGTCCTTTCTCAGTGGTACACCCGGAACACCCGCCCAATTTCGAATCAATCGGTCCGTTTGACGGAAGTCAAAATCGAGTTCAAAGAAGTCGATCATATACATACACACAGGTGAAGCTGAGAAAAGCGTGTTAAAGATATAATTTGGGTGTCGAAAAAAACCAGTGGCGTACCATAGTTTTCATCTAAAATATTTACTTCCGATCCCGCACTATCTACACTGAATGAAATGAAAAGAATTATACATCAGACAATGCGTGTTGATGCATCATACATTTCAAATATTTCACCTTACATTTGAAATGCCATAATAATATCCAAGGGAGCGGGTCCTTGATCCATTTCAATATAAAAAACTTCTCATGAACGTATGCGGTTAACGGCCTAACTTCTGAGATACAGGTTGTAAAGTTGAAGGAGAATAATTAGTTTCATTACATTCAATAACTATGCAAGCGCGTAACTGAAGTCGTGAATATTTCCCTGACTTGGTGAATGACCCTGAGGGCAAATACAATCGTACTGATATTCGGCCATCCAGATTTCTGATGCCGCTGTTAGGGAAATGATATTGTTTTTATTCTTCTAAAAACTGAGGAGAAAAACCAGAAAATTCCAGATTATGATGTAGATACTGAGTACTCCATTCAAGACATCCGTTCAGATAACTGGATAACTATAAGATGTGGAATTCTGAAAAGTGCGCACTTTTGCAGTCACATAAAATTCTGTTTAATTTTGACCCCACCACGAGAAGCTATACACGGTAGACAACACAATGTTTGCATATTTTCGACTTTGCCACCCTGTAACTCAGAAGATGGGGCGTTCACGACATACGTTCAGATTGGGCTTCGTTATTGAAATGAGACCAAGAATCGTCCTCTATAATCTGCCTGCGATCATCGTACGATGATAATTTCAGTTTTCAATTATGAATTTTCTGAAAATTTCCCAATATTTTGAAAACATGATTTGGGAATTTTGAAGTAGTCCATTATACAGACATATGACAGTTTGTCTTTATTGGTTCAGCCCAAGTGAGCGACAGCATTGTTCGAGTCATTCAGTTCATGAAGTTCCACAGCTCCAATTTTTTATATTCAACCTACTTCACAGTATTTTGTCATTTCGCCATCAGATGGCTTTGATAACTTGATTCATCCTCAACATTTTCACACAATCTGGCCAATCATAAACCAGAAAAACTTGTACACTACACTGTTTTACCACTAACCAAACCGATTTTTTAACGCCTCGACACGTGTTTCGCTAACATATTTAGCGAAGTACGTGTCGAGGCGTTAAAAAATCGGTTTGGTTAGTGGTAGAACAGTGTAGTGTATTATCGTGCCAAAGGTTCCAGCCTTCGATATAAAAAAAACTTGTGTTATCGCGAAAAACCTAGCTGTCTCTCAATTCTGATTGGTCTATCAGCGTTGGTGTTTTCAACGATGCAACCATGGATAGCAGAACAAAATTTGTCAGTATGGTATAAAATAAATTGAGCGCTCTGGTTATAATGGCTTGTTCGAGTTTATCATGAATGCTTTTCATGCCTCGTGAAATAGCCAAGCAAAATATCACTCTGTTCTTGATATTTTCTCATGAATCTGTCTCACATAAATAACCCAATTATGTTGTCGTACAGCAATTCTACTTATCTTGATGGACTCGTGGTATTGCTTGGCAAGCTACAGAATCATCACGAATGGTCAGAACATTGTGATATCGACAATATAGCTCAATTTGTTCATCATAAATAATAAAATTTGTTTGCAATAATGAAATTGAATCTCAAACAACTTCTCACTGAGTCAAACCTTATTCATTAGCTGACTTCTTTCATTTTCAGATTGGGCATTCCCTCACACACCTGAAATTATCCCATGCTCTTTCATCATCATTCTCTAATGTACCGATAGATGCCATCAGTGTTTTATCAAACATCAAAGAGCTTGATCTGAGTAATAACAGACTGAAGATAATGCCTGAAACGTCTTTCCACTTTCTTCGGAACTTGAGGAAACTCGAGCTTCAAGATAACATTATTGAAATCATCCATAAAGGTACATTTCAGGTAGGTGCATAACAGATATATACGTGGAAGCAAGCATCTGAATGATGTAGTGAATGGATCTATCTATAGGACAAAACTATGCCTGATTCTTGAAGCAGAGGCTCTAGCCTGCATTGCACTTCTCATCGTCAACAGATATAGTTGATAAATCAATAAACGTACTCAACATCATCCTACCTCATATTCAATCAGTTCACGATAAGGTTACCCAACCTCCGTTTGGAGATTCTCTTCGGTGTTGTAGTCTTATAACGAACATAAATTGACGAAGGTAACCAATTTATTGATCCTAAATTAATTCAATGTGAGCCAACTAGTTCGACATTTTGATTAAGTGTTTCTGTACCAAAAATGCATATCCAAATCTGAAATAACTTAGTTTTCAGGGTGATATACATACAGAATTGATGGAGATCCATCTATCGTTCAATAATATACGATCTATAACTCAGCATTCCTTCGTGAATCTCCCCAATCTGGAGCAGCTTAATTTGGATGACAACAGTATCGAATCACTCGAAAGAAGATCGTTCATGAATTTGGAACAAATAAAACGACTTAATTTGAGAGGCAATAAGATATCCATTGTACCATTCGAAACATTTCAGAATCTGCCACAGTTAGAAGATCTGGATATATCTTATAATCAACTGAGGAGTTTTGATTTTGGCATGTTCGACCAAGTAGGGACATTATCCATATTCAGTGTCAACATCAGTCACAATAACCTCGGAGATCTCTTGGTGAATTTACCGATAGCTTCTGAATCTGCAGGTAAAAACGAATGAATTTGCTTATTATGAGACGAACACAAGGTGTTGAGATATATTGAAATCAGCGAACTCCTTATGTCAATTCACTGAACAATATAAATAACTCTTGGATGACTGGATGATTGTCTGGTGACAAGTTATGATTAATTTCTTTCATTTCAAATTTCGATACTCCTGGACAAATTGTCTCGCGGTTTTATCCTGTTTTTCAGGTATTTCTTCGCAAAGATTTGTTACTGCCTAAATTTCAAGATTTTAACCAATTTAGTTAATTTACTATAGTCATATACAAACATTCACAGAACAAACTACATCAAACTCTACAAGATGATAGACATTCAAAGTGATACGGATAGGTACGCTAACAATCTCACTGATTTGAGAAAAAAAACTATTTTTATCGAAGTGTAATAACTCGAAATATGACCAAATATCTTCGAGAAAACAATGTTTCTTCCTGACGAATGATCTCGCAAATTTAGATAATGAACTTTCATTCTCAGGGTTTGTAGATCTCTGGAACTATTATTCAGGTACCGAAATGGAAATCAGAATTTATTGTGTAATTCTGAAGTTACGACGTTTTGAATCACTTTGATGACATAAAAATATATACACAAGTGACCAATCTGGCCGAAATCACTATTTACAACATGAGAACCGTTTATCAAAATATCCTGACAACATGAAGGTGGCATCAAAAAATCCCATGACTTGTGTCACCATCTATCCTAGGTATACTGCTGACGCAGCTTGTTTTTCCATCGCCTGAGGAGAAGATGCTGAGCTAGACGATAGTCTACCTTATTCCTGCATGGATGCACTTCAGCCGGCAGTCAGATCTTAGTTTTCATACTGTAAGCATCGTCTAACATGTATCATTCTCCATTGTTAATGAAATAATTGTGTTTGAAAAGCAAGTCCTTCGGTCTCAAAAGTGATTACATGTTTTTTATTGGATTTAGAATGTTGTGTTCAATATACTATCCGTCAAAAGAAATCTCACCCGTTCAAGAGTTAACAAGGAAAAAGAGACTCCATGGAGACAGTGGCTCGGTGGTCGAGAGCGTGAATGCGCTGAGTTCGTATGGGGATTCCCACAGAAAAAAAAAGTATAAACACTCATCGTCAAAAAAACACGTTTGCTATTACTCTTACTGTTATCATCGAATTGACTTTGTTCGTGTTATTAATTGTTTTCTCTAGTCAATTTCTTAACCCCAGGTCATTGAATAGTTTCTCGTCAAGCTGTTGAAACTCTCTAGTTGAACCCACGATTTTCAAGGAAGGACGTTTTTTCGCAGTCAAGAAGTTCATTCGCGAATATGTTGATATAATCCCATATTTGAAATGCTAGGTCATTACATGTTATTGATAGTTTGAGTTTTTATTCTCATCCTTCATTTGGATTTAATGTATTATACTACACTGTTTTACCACTGACCAAACCGATTTTTTTACGCCTCGACACGTGTTTCGCTAACTATGTTAGCATCTTTAGGAGAAGATTAAAGAGTAGTTTTAATCTCCTCCTGAAGATGCTAACATAGTTAGCGAAACACGTGTCGAGGCGTTGAAAAATCGGTTTCGTTAGTGGTAAAACAGTGAAGTGTATTTTCGTGCCAAAGGTTCCAGTCTTCGATATATAATTTATTATATCTGAATGTTTTTTCCATATGTCCTACCAAGATTGATATTTATTTTATTTATCTATCAATCTTTTTTTTTGGCAGGGAGTAAGTTCATGTTCGCACAGGTAGTCGTTTTCACTTTCCCTGGCAGTTTGAGACTCTAGAACAGATGTTCTAACCTACCCACTAAACCTCCCTCTCCAACTCATCCAGTTCGGTACTGTTCTTCGCTCAACATCAAAGTAGTGAGGGGTCTATTTCATTCAATATTCTTTCAAGTTGCCTTTCTTCTGTTTCCTTCTTTTCGATTATTGACTTCATGAAGTAGTGTATTGAATTCTATCTTTCTCCATTTGCTATCATGGCTGGCGACAGATTGTCCACCTCTTCAAATATACCCTAAAGCAACCGTGTCCTGATAGCACTTGTGACATGAGGTAACCTACGCGTCTATGCTTGCAGCTTATTCAGTCTTCTATCCTTGTTATCAAGAGCTTCGTCTACTATTCTTCATTTTCTGTATGGTTCAACATTTATTGCCAGTTATCTATGGTAATTGTTCATTCCTCATTCTTAGCGCGTGTGCTGCTACTGTCTATCCTCCTGTATAGCCTCCATCTCTCATCGACGAGTAGCTCGATTGGTATTGTTCCAGTTATAACCTGGTGCAGCTTCATCGGATACCGTGTGGTGTGCACTCATTACTCTGAGGAGCATGGTGCGTTGTATTTTTGTTAGTAGTATTCTATACTTCCTTATGTTCATGTGCTCGTGCCAGATAGGAGCCCCATACAGAAGAATAGACTGTACAACGTAGTACAGCAATATTCTTTTCTTTGGTCCAGGGCTCCTTATATTAGGTGTTATTCTTCCTAAAGCTGCAACCTTTTATTTGACCTTTTGGGCAGCACCTCTGATGTACCGACTAAAGCTGCATCCTTCTCCTAAAGTGACGCCTAGGTAAACCAGGCTTTTTTCGCGAGGAATTTCCACACCACCGCAGAAGGATCAAACTTTTTCTTTTGCCCTCTGACCTTTGAGTATAAACGCCTCCGACTCATGTGGGGCCAATTCCAACTCGTTCTTCTTCATCCATTCGTTGACATGGTATAACACTACTTCACCTTTCCAGTTCACTTGTTCTTTGTTTTTTGTGGTGATGACTATCGCCAGATCATCTGAAAAGGAGATTAGAATGACTCCTTCTGATACGTGTTCATCTAACACATCATCATATAGCACGTTCCAGAGAGTAGGGCAGAGTACTGAGCCCTGTGGAACGCCTGCCGTGACATCCAAGCATGTGTCTTTGTCATTTTGTAGTGATCGATCTTCTAAATAGCCATCAATGATTTCTAGTAAGTACCTTCCTATGCCCCTTGTTTTCAATGCCCCTTGTTTCCAATTTCTGCAGGATTCTATCCCAGGATGCCGAATTGAAAGCATTCTGGACATGTAGGGTTCTAATTGCAACCCGTTCATTACTCGTACCCTCATTTGCTATTTTGATCACCTTTTCAACTGCTTGAATTGTGAACCTCTTCTCACGAAAACCAAACTGATTCTCTGATACACCACCTGTAGCATCTAACTCAATTTCCATCCGCTCTCTCAAGAGACCTTGCTGATGGAATTCGGTAAGCAAATTGGTCTGAGTCTCATAGTTTCTGGTTTCCCTTTTGGCATCAAGACCAGTTTTGCATTCTTCCATCCTCTCGGAAATTGTTTCGCGTTTCGAGAACGATGTTCAAAATATTTAATAGGATTCCTGGTGCTATTTTCTTCAGTAACTTGATGACTTCCATAGAAATACCATCGAGGCCAGGTTCCTTTCCAGATTTCATCTTCTTCAGTACGGCGCCGAGTTCTTTCTGCGTGGAAGGCTCAGGGAGTTCCTCTGTTCTGGTTTTCTTCCAGCTCTTCTCTTTCCTGGAAAATAGGTCATTTGCTACTTTGATTTTTTGTTATAACGCGAGGTTGAATGGAGTCACTTCTATAGGTTTTTTTCGTCACAATTTCATATTCCTCGCCACAAATATTGTTGTCAAGTTATTCGCATAGATCTTTCCAATGTTTCTTTTTAGACTGACTTATCAAAAACAGTAGCTCCTTCCTGCATGTCTTAAGATCATCACGTGCTTCGATTATTTCATCCTCATTTCTTTGTGTTATTGTGAGACTTCCGCGGAATGCTTTTCTCATCACCCCATCCAAGTCTTCCGTTGATCTCCCTCCAGCTGTGATCTGCCAAGTCGCGAGTTCCTTGAATAAGTCCCAATCGCATATTTGGTTGTTCCTGCTTGTATTCGGAGGCTTCTTGTATCTCGTCAACATAGAGAAATATATATATTGGTGTTCTGTTAGCGTTTCGTCATACAAAACTTCCCAGTCCCTTATCATCCTCTGCACATTTTGAGTTGAGCACGTGATGTCGATATAAGACTTAGTTGGTCCTCTGACGAAGGTTGGTTCCTTATCATCATTCAGGGTATTGAGATAAGAAGTCGCACCAGTACTCCCATCTCTCATCCTCGTTCGGCGAACCTCATATTGAAGATTTGGTGGTTATGTCACCCATAATGATTTTTTCTCCGGTATGTCCTCTAGCATCTTCCATGATCTTATCCACTTGCTGTTCAAATTCTTCGGTACTTATATTTGGCGGAATATAGCAACAGAATGAGTGGCAGTTTCTCAGTGAGAATTTTATGTATCCCTCTTGGAGGCTAACATCCACAATCTCAAGCTTTGTGTTTGGAAACATGACGCTGACGTCAGCTCTCTTGTCCTTGATTCACTGAATATTGTCTACAATGTTTTTATTTGGTTTCCCTACTACCAGGACGTCTACGTCACTCTTAACAGCCATTGCGTAGGCCAGATTGTGGGAGGCCCACTCCCTTCCTAGATTTGCTTGTGGGATCTTGACTGTCATTCACAGGTGTGCTGCTTACTATCGCTACTGATGGCGATTCACCCTTGTCAGTGGTCAACTTCCAATAATGCAGACATTTGGTTTGGTCCAATCGGTGCCCCCCAACCTCACATACAACACAGACTGGTTGATTTCGGCATCCTTTCGATGTATGTCCCGTCTTCGTGCACTTGAGGCAGAATTGAGATCTTTTCTCGTTCAAGCAATTTTCTTTTCTGTGCCCGAATAAATGGCATCTGAAACACCTCTGCAGGCTCACTTTTCGCCTAACCCTACAATAGATCCATCCAATCCTGATTTTTTCCTCATTCGTCACCCTCTGAGCTATGTCCCTCGACGGTAACTGATTCGTTTCCACTCTGCGTTGGTCTAATCGACATAATCCTGGAATTGTCCTCCGTTATATTCGTGACTGATGATATTTCAGTTTCTTATCATTTTCATCGATACTGGCGTCTTTGTTGGTTACGTGGACTATGGTCTCATCTCGTCTTACAACAACGCTAGTATTTGTATTCCCTTCTCTTCTAGGTTGACTGAGTTCTTCATTGACTCCAGGAGCTCAGCATAACTCTTTTTTTCTTTAGCCTCTGATATAATCCTATACTCTTTAGTCTGTCTATCGCTTCTGGTGATCTGTTCTCACTTCTTTCCATTTTTCCGCAATATGTTCATTCACTGGATTGTGCTCTTCTTCTATCAAATATATATTTCTTGATGCATCCGTGACCCAAGAGTGCTTGAGTCAAAAAATAGTCCACTTCTCCGTGAGGTCTGTTGACCCATCTTTCAATCAGGAATCAATCGATGAGTTCAGCGCCTGTATGTTCCATTATCCCACTCGTTTTGCTATCTGGCGATCAAATTGGCTGGGACAGTTCCTCTGATTTGTAAATCTATAGGAGGTATTCCAGCAATTACTGCTATTGCTTCCGCTGATACCGTTCTATATGCACTGCTCACCATAATCGACATCAGTCGCTGAATTCTGGTGAGTTTTTGTGTAAGTTTCCTATTTTCGGTTACTGTATGCCATACCGCTGCCCCATAAAGCAACTGTGAGTGGATCACACTTGCTAGAACTCACCTCTTTGGAGCTCTAGCACCCCCAACATTTGGCATTAGACATTCTCAATTGTTCTGTTGACATGCTCGGCGAAGGTCAGCTTTGGGTCCAACCATACTCTCAGGTATTTCAGGGTTCTGCCGGGCGTAACTATTGTACCATGAATATTGAAGTCATATGGAATATTCCACGATATCGGATCCAGCACTGACTCTTGGGGTACACCGCTGTTCACTTCGAAGCTTCTGAGCCCTTCCTCCGCATCTAGTATAATTGTTCTGTCTGAGAGATACGCTGCGATAACGCTTATCAGACTTTCCCCCACTCCCTTATGTCTCAATGTTTTCAGTATCAGCTGCCAAGATGCGCTATTGAAAGCATTTTTGACATCAATCGTTATCACGACACATAATTTACGTTGGGTTTCCGCAAGTTGCGCTACCTCCTGGAGCTTTTTGATAGCATCTACGGTTTGTCTTCCTTTCCTGGAGCTGGACTGGTAGTCTGATAGCCCTTCAGTTCTGTCGAGCTCCTGATTGAGGCGTTCGAGGAGGAGGTGTTCATATAATTTGCCCTAATTATCTAGAAGACATATCGGGCGAAAGATGAGGGATTTTTCAAAGGCTTATCACCTTTCCTCAGCAACATCAGTTTGCTCTTTTCCACTCCACGGAAAAGAGAGCCATTTTCAAGTTCATTGTAGACCGACAGAACTTATTCATGTTTCTGTCGGTCTGTCTATCCATCTACTTATCAAGACATCATATCATTCCAGTTAACCAGTGTTGGTTGCAGGGAAAATGTAGGGAATTCTCATTGTGGAATCACAACTTCGCATTATTGATTTATGAAAGTTCCACCAGTACTTATTGGCGATTGCTTGATGTTCGCAGCGTCATACATCGTCAATGAGTTGTCAGGACATCACAATGTAGATTGATTTCAGTAACCATACAGAGCAATTACTCAACGTCTGACTGTGACATTCAATGTGAATTCCAAATAATATCGAAGCAGTGCTTCGCCGGATTTCCACTTTAATGTTCAAATCATAATAATTCTATCCCAGATAATTTGTCAATTCATCGAAATTGTCCGATCTTCATAAGTTAGCAGCACCATCTTTAGATTCGGAGCAAATATTCTTATTATTAGGATTGAGTATATACCCAAATCATGAAAATTATTGAATGTTCATGTAGATTATGGATGCACGTATGGTATTGAACTCGAATTTTCACTCACGAAATTATTAGTCCTGTTTTGTTCATTCAGGTGTATCATGAAAAAGTACTACTTCGGTGTTGAGAATCATTTTCTCACAAGTCCAAACTCGTCAGGGTTAAAAAGAGCCGAACCTACAGTTTATAGTGGAAAACCGAACCACGCATTATTGTCAAGAATGAAAGCGAAACCGGATTAAAAATTTTTGTTTGCTCACGTTCGATTCTAGATTTCCAACACCAAAACGTCACGATGTGTGTGAATATTTGAAACGAGAATAATGTGGAGAGAATAATGAAAAGAAACTCACATTAGGTTTCACACATGCCTATGGAAATTGTTTATTGCTCATCATCTGTATTATGCATATTCCTACTTTATTGATAATAATAATATGTAATTATCATTATTATCAATTCCATCATCATATTCGGGTGTGGGTTTATTCCTTCAATCCATCAATGAATAATTTAAGGTATACCTACAGTGGAAATTAATGCAGGCGAAAGGTTAATCGTTTCGTAGTTGCGACGTGTCATCGAATATGATATTTCAGAAAAGTTGGCGAGCGGTCCTATTCAAGAAGTTGCTTGAATTATGTTTTTCATAAAAGTTTATCTAAGATACGTCATTCCAATTTCGAATCATGTCACGAACTGGATATTTGGAAAATATGACCAGAGATTAGTGACATAGAAATAACAATGTAACTTCATATTAACTTCTCGATAGAATATTGAAATGAAGTTTCATGAAAGTTGAGCTAGGACACTTGCAATGCAAACAATTTGTGGATGTTCATATTCACAGAGCGGAATTCTTGGTTCATTCATGATCTGTCTTCAAGAAGATCTTAGGTGTGATATTTTCAGTTATTTCCTGCGACTTACAGTTAATTAGCAGGTTGACGGGGATGTTATCAAGATATTATGTTATCAAAATATCATCGCGTTCGACATCTCGATGTTTCGACAACATGTTTGGAATGGCTCATTCCGATTTCGCAAACCAAAACCTGAGCCGTTAATGATACTTATTCTAGAATATACTATTTCAGGAGGATATGTAACTACTAAATATAGAAGTTCAATTTGAAATGCCTCAATGGATTTTTTTATAGAATATAATATATTAAAAAGTTTAAAAAGTGTTTTAAAAGTGTTTTTAACCGCCAGCTTAGTTGCAAAGCAACCCTCGAAAGTCAGAGACTTGTGTGAGTTAAGAAGACGGGGACCTTAGCTTTTTAAGTGTCATCCGAAGCACTACTCGGCTGGTAACCGTGGACAGTCCAAAGGATTGATATCTAGGTACCAAGAATGTTGGGTTGGCCACCTATCTCCTCCCGCCCAACGAAACTACCGAAAATTAATTCAGTGCTCGCGCCGGGGATCGAACCCGGACCGCCTGGGCGACAGCCAGCGACTCTACGCTCACGGCCACCAGCCCAGCTGTTCAAGTATATTTATCGAAACTCGACTCTATCCATGCATTTAAGAGTGCATCACGAAGACACCTCGTGTTTGAATGAGTACCACGTTTTATCAGATATAATATATATTTATTGCAGGTATCAATGGTATCCATTCCAGCATAAAAAGTCTCGACTTGTCTTTCAATAACATCACATCGATATCCAAACAGTTCTTCAGACCAGTTGAGCTTTCTTTGACACATTTATATTTGTCCCACAATAACATCATGAATGCGACCAAAGATGTTTTTGGTAACATGAGGCATCTACAGTTGTTGGATATTTCTTATAATGGAATGTACGAATTGGATTTTGACATGTTCAGGAATACCAAGAAGGTGCAAGTAAGTTAAAATTCATGTTTACATTCACAGTGTGACTATACACCAGTGGTTTCTACCATAGATCTAAACACATTATCCTGAATATCATAGGGATTCAGAAGGAGAATATCATCCTTTTGCTTTTCGCGAAAAGTGAATAAGAGATGTATTGATCATCGCTATCTCATTTAAAAAAACGAAGCTGCCAATTGACCCCCACGGGAGCAAAAAAAATGTAACTTCTTATGAGAGCTGGAATATACCGAATATCTCAACTCTATTCAAAGATGTATTTTCTCGGAAACGGGTGACACTATCAATGTTCTGAAAAAACTGTGTGTCGAATAAAAATGTGTGTTGCACAAGAATTAGTGATCAAAACATTTTTCTGATAAACCACTCCTCAGCACATTTTCCTTTGTTTTAAATCACACACTTCCATTATTGTGGTAGGTTTGAATATTTCCTGAGTTCACGAACACAGTAATACATTACAGTTAGTATATTTTTGTACCGTAATAAGTGAGAAAGACGAAAGGGCCATAATCCATTTCCTCCCAGGTGTGTTAGATGCCTTCTGCTACGCATCGGGCATTCAACTCCACATGCGGGAGAAAATGGATACCTTTGCTCCCTTAATATATGAATAGGTATTTCTCATTTCATTACCTGAATGATGAAAATTGAATATGATTTATGAATTTGATTTAGTAATCATGATATCAATAAAATGTCGCTCTAATGTTTCTCGTGATTCTCTGAATGAACAGCTTTCCAATAATAGTAATGTACTAGCAAAAACCCTGTGGATAGTGATTACCCATTCGTGGAGATAAAACTTCTGAAAAAGTATCTATTTAATCTGATTGCTCAGCTTACGATATACTGGTATGAGTGGCTTACGTTTTATGGATATTATTGGTTTGTCCATTCTATTCTCATCGTGTTCTTGCATCCAGTTACAATGCAAATATCTATGTACATGATTTCCTAAATCTTGTCACTTCGTTTTGTTGAAAACAAGAAAAATACATTGAGAATTCGCATTCTCTATCTGATTAGAATATGAATTTGTTCATGGTATATTCAACAGAAATCAACTACTTTCCTAACTATATACCATCATAAACATCACTCTTCTGGATATTTTTTCTTGATCGATTGTGTGAAAATCGGATATATTCTTTCGAGAAAATGAAAATTTCTCACAATATTCATTGTGTGTTTCGTTTTACATATTGACATTTCATGAATTCATGACAGATATCACCCATTTTTATTTCGTTCGCGAATATTTGGCATGGACTATTTTATTCATTCATTGATCTCCAATTCAAATTCTCCTGATTCTTTCATAAGGAAACCTTCATGGTTTTTGCTTTGTAGTCCCATGAAGGGAATTTTATATCAGTTGAAGCAGAGTTCGATCGTGAGTTCAGTTATTTGATCATATTTGAGGCGTTTGATTCAAGGCTTTCATTCTCACTTCAAAGAACAACATGTTTACTAAATCTGGTGAAATTTCGAGTGAAAGGATTGCGAGAATTTGAAGATATGCACATTCGGAGATACTGATGCGAACATTTCCACGAAAATCGTGATGATTCGAGAACGGTCCCAAACTACTATTGGGAAATATAAGACGATTGTTTTCGGAATAATACTCAGGTTCATTTATGAATGCTACACCCTCGTTTACGTTGACTCAAATGATGTTCTCAAACTTCAGGATTTGATTCGAATGGAAGACATCGAAATCATCCAATCAACGGGTTACGCGATGAATATTCTATATTCGTTCGTTCGAGGATTCGTTCGATGGTTCGACGCTCGAAGGACCACACCTTGCGGGGGATACACAAGTATTTATGACTTGAAGAATACTGTTTTAGTACAAAACGATTATTATATCAACTGAACATCGGATGTAAAAAAAACAAAAAAAAAGTGCTATAATAGTTATCTGGGGCTGGAGTTGTACAATTGTCCTCCTGCCCCAGTAAAAATTATTCTTCAAACAATCTTCAAGAATAAATATATGTTTTTGGGATGCGTCGAGCAAATACCGAGATTACAAATACGTCAATTCATAGATCTTCGATACCCATAACTCTCGTTTGAGTATAAATTTGATTATTATGAGTTGTATGCCGATCTATAGAAGCGATTCATTAATTATCCAAGTTTACTGGCCACAATCATCAAAATAAACTTCTATTCTTCAACACTGTTCATGTTTAGACCCATATCAACTATTCATACTGTCCTTCTCGTTTATTCAAAGAATGTTCTTTATATATAATTGAATTGTTGAATCTATCTACCCCTGTATCTCACATTAATAGTTTTCGTATAAAATCATAATACTCTCGTTCTGCGTCGATTTTAGTAGCAAATTAAAAAGGAAAAGAATTTTGTTAATGAATCACATACTCAATTACTGTTGAATCAATTATCGTAGATTTATCCCTGTTGAACTATTCTCTAAGTAATGATTTACGCAGTTTTTTCTTTAATCAATTGCATTCTATTTATATTCGGAATTTGCAAACATTACTCAAATCAGTCATTTTGGAAGCGTTATCGGAATTTTACTCCTGCAGAGGGAAGGTGACCGCGCAGGTCGCCATTCGTCACCATTTCATTCGCTTGATTCGATCACGTGACATTCGCAACTTTTGGTTCACTTCATTACCGCCTGCCAAGACCGGAAGAAATATTCGCTCCGTTAAATGGAGGCATTTCTTTCACGGTTATTGATTTTTCAGAAGCTTATCTTCGAATAGAATTAGATGAACCCAGCAAAGAGCTTACAGTAATAAATACTCATAAGGGTTCTTTCAGCTCTCAACGACTAACTTATGGAATTTCCTCGTCTCCAGGCATTAATCTAGCACTGATGAATAAAATGTTGAGTGAAATTCTCGGAACTTCTTCTTACCTAGATGACGTCATCGTGTCAGGGAAATCTAACTTCGAACATCTACGGAATCTACAAGTGGTTTTGGAAAGAATTGATAAATTCAACTTGAGAGTAGAGAGAGAAGTGCAAATAAATGCAACCATCGGTTGAATATTTGGGATTCGTTATACCGGCTTCAGGACTTCACAAATCCCAGAAAAAGATGGAAGCTATTGTGAACATGCCTCGACCTTCAAATATGGATGAATTACAATCCTATTTAGGAATGATGAATCACTATTCAAAGTTCATTCCAAGATGAGCTGAGTTTTGCATTCCCCTGAATCAATTGCGAGAGAAAAATAGTACAGGGAATTGGTCACGAGAATATGATGCTGCGTTTTTGAAAGTTCGCGAGGAACTATCTTCTCCTAGTCCACTTGCTCATTATGACTTGTTGCTTTCACTAATTTTTGCTGCAATTGCATCTCCCGTAGGTATTGGATCTGTTATATACTATAAATATACCAAAAAAGCTATTGCGCTTGCGTCGAAAACGTCGAAACCCGGAGAACAACGTTATTCGCAAATTAAAAGGAAAGGTTTAGCCATAATCTCTGGTGTAAAAAAATTTCATCGATATGTATGGGGTTGACCATTTCAGCTTCCAACCAATCACCGAGCATTGGTAACAATTTTTAGGTCACAAAAGGGCATCCCGACTTCTACCGCCAATCGTCTAGAGCATTGGGCAATACTACTAACGGGATGGATTGTATCGATTACCTGCTGGGCCAGATACACAATTCGATAATGTGGACTACAATTTTGATTATGTTTTTTCTAATATTGAACGAGAAAAACATCGAGAAATTCCAATTAGAAAATTTTCACAGAAACTCCGAAGGATACTACACTACAAATAATGAAGAAGAAAATTATCATGAATAGATGGCCGATAAGTTGTGGAAACAAGTTAAACCATATTATATCCGGCGTAATGAATTGACTCTGTCAAGTGATTGTATAATGTGGGGTGTGAGGACTATCATTCCTTCAGCCCTACATGCCAGAATCCAGGAATACCTACATTCATTCCATGCAGGAATTGTAAGAATGAAATCTGAAGCACGGAGGTATTCATAGTGGTCTAACTTAGATTCGGATATTGAGAAACTGTCCTAAAACTGCGAGGTTTGCACCTCAATAAATAGAGATCCTCCAAAAGTACCTCTTAATTCATGGTCTAAACCAGCTATGCCGTGGTACAGAATACAGATAGACTATGCAGGGCCATTCAAATGATCTATGTTTCTGGTGATAGTGGATACTTTCTCCAAATGGCTAGAGGTGATACCTACAAAAAATTCCAATTCCAACGGTGAGAATCCTGAAAAACTTGTTTGTTACATATTGATTAGTAGATGAAATCGTTACAAATAACGGAACATCCTTCACTTCTCATATAGTCCAGTAATTTCGCAATTACTATGGAATAAAGAGCAATACAACTCCAATTTATTACCCATCTTCTAACGGACAAGCAGAACGATGAAATCGTTTAAATCTGCTATCAAAAAAATTTGCGTCTCTGAAAATTATGTTTTATATCATCTACAGAATTATTTATTTCGGTACAGAGCCACTACCCATCCCGCTACCAATTCCTCACCTAGTGAATTATTTTTGAGGAGACAGATTCGAACTTCTTTGGGCTTGATTGAACCTACCCAGAAAAGTGACAGAAATGAATTTAGAGATCATAAATTCAAGGTCTCACAAAACGTTTGGGTCAAGATGTATAACAATTTGAAATCTACATATTGGATTAAAGGAAAAATTCTAGAAAAAATTGGAAACCAAATATGGATGGTACAAGCAGAAAACCGGAAATTCAAAAGGCACTCCAATCAACTAAAACCAGACAAAGAGGAGGAACAGGCATTACAAAATTCCTCGCAAAATGAGAACGGAATGGAGTTATTGTGGGACCCTGTACTATCATCCACCAATAGGAAGGAAGCTCAGGAAGGACCTAGCAGAGGAAGAGAGTCCTTATCACTACCTATAGCTCAACGGAAAGCTGAAAGACGCTGCGCTCCAGCGGAGAGGCTCGGGC